TAACTGAGCCTTCAGCCAGGCAGCTTTGCACTATAACTCAAACGCAGTGCTGCCTTTTCAAAAGATTTTGAAGCCCAGACCTCCAGCGTAGCTGACTGCATTTCCTCCTTCTCAGCCTGCCCTCGCATTGCCTGCTCACCTACAGTTTGCACACCTGACTGATGTGCACATTGCTGCTCGCCTGCATGTGCAAAGCTACGGTCAAATACATGGAGAATGCAGTTGCACACTTACAGAAGGGACCTTGCCCTCCCCTCACGGGGCCTCACCACTTCTTTCTGTTACACAGTTACGTGCTGGTTTTTGTCATCTTCAGTGCCATCTACTGAGACTGTGAAAACTTATCACTGTGAAGCTTACGCTCACAGATCTTATGATGCTTCTCGCCTGATAAGCATAGTTGGTTGAGGTGGTTTGATCACCTCCCAGGTTACGCCCTGCAGTCATGTATGTGCTGTGTATCCCAGATTTACATATACTTTAAATGAGAAAGAGGCAGACATGACCTTTCTCATTTACACGATGGAAGAGAGACAGCATTCAGGGACACTTGCAGGTAATGCTGGAGGGTTAAAGGTAGGCAAAACTTGGCAGTTTTGGTCAAGGGTAGGATCCATTTAGCTTTCACTGGTGTTTTAGTTCTCCTGCTACCAAATCCATTAGCTTTCATGCCAAATGTTGCTTCCAGCTGAAATTTATACAAGAAACTAGGACTGCATTCTGCCCTGTACGCGCCATGACAGAGATTCAGAGGTTTTACTGCCAGCCCCAAATGAAGCCATGCACCTCAATGCGCTGCAAGAATTCAAATTTCTGACCAGAAAGCAGGATGTCGTGGCCAGTTTTCAGCCATCTTTCTGTCTTGGAAACTGAAACTAAGAGACTGGGGAGACCATGCTGTGATTCCCGTGGGAGCGGGAGGACATCTGCATGCACTTTCCTGCAGCCAGCCTCCCACCTGCTCTGCCTTCTCGTCACCTCCACGGGGAGAGCATTGGCCCATGAGATGTGTTAAATGTGTCACCTGGTCACACAACTAAACATCTCATGACTTTGAGTGTCATTTTAGCTGAACTCAAGGCAGGTGGCTCCAACCGATCTGAACTGTTCATAAGTTCTGCTTGATTCTGTTTCGCAGACTGAAATAATTTAATGAAATTTAATTAGCATTCAACCTGGTGAAAGCATTTCAAGCCCAAATGTAGATACTATCAGGCTAACCTGACCTTTGCTGCCATGGGTTCAGCTCTTCACAGGACATCATCAGCCTAAATTATCCTACGTTAGGAAGGTGGGGTCTTCTAAAAACACTGATGAGGCTAAACATTTTAATATTTAAATGCAGTTCCTTTTAAAAACCACAGATGTGAGCAAGTTTCCTCAGAAAGCGCAGCCACAGAGGGGAGGCTTGGCTTGTGGGGGGCTGCAGAAGAGGCAAAGACCCTGGCTTGAGCACTTTCGTGCTGCCCAGCAATGCCCCAGAAGCAGCCATTCACACGCTGTAATGAACTCCCTAACTCTTAACATGAAATCCTGACCCTGCTGATGTCAATAGGCATTTTTTTGCGTTGTCTGCCAACAAGGACAATATTATGCTTTGGTTGTAATGGGGAAAAGTTGTGGTTTGTTTTTTTCTTTAAGCACCATCTAAAGGTGCCTCAGCGAGAGCAGGGAGCTAATGGTTGGTCATGGCTCTGGCCTCAGCTGGATGCTGACAGAGCAATGGACCTGGCAGAGCAGCAGAGCCAACCCCTGGCTAATGATCAGCTGAGGAGGAGCCAAGAAGAAATCGAGGAAGAAGACAGCAAGAACACCAAAGCACATTAAAAACAGGAGGGAAATGATAGCCTGTTGTCTCCTGCCCTCCATGCCCCTTGCCAGTGCCCTTCTGATATGCAATGGCCACTTTCCTTCTGGGTACGTGTCCTGGGTCTCCATCTAAAAAACCTGTTCTCTTTGTAAACTATTTTTCTATTTAAACAATGTCCATAGAATCTAAGTTACCACAAATATTTGCATTAAATCAAATGGAGGCAGCTCAGTGCTTCAGTAGGTGCCTTCCAGTCCTCTTTTGGCTATAATTACCTACAGAAATGCCACATTCAGGGATTCTGACAGTTTATTTTCTGATACCACCATGGTTCCTGAATCTTCTAAGATTCAGTGAGGATTTCGAGTAATCCTTTACCATGTTTCATAAGGTCAGTCTGTGCAGTAGCCACTGTAATTGGCAGTAACAAAATAAGCAGTAGTGTCACACTGGTAAAACAGCATACCCTGCAGCATAGCTGAAACCAGGGAAAGGTTTCCTGCCTGGGTTTATTGCTGGAGTTACGCAGCTATGGCCTAGCACATAAAATTAAAATCTAGTCTATACTTTGATCAGGAAAATTAGCTTTTTCTTTACAGATCTCATTTTCTTACTGAAGGGAATCCCACAGCTGGGAGTTTCCAGGCACTAGAGACACTAGCTACTGTTATTATTATTATCATTAATAAAAAGTAATTTTATAGAAATACCCATTAGACTTGTAGACTAGAAAAAAAAAATTAATAACTAGGATACCAGGTGACAGAGAGGAATTCTGATTTTTTTAACCTGATGGAAAAAGTCTTTGTGATACCCAATATCTCTGTTTTCTGAAAATCTGCAACATTCCTAGGAATTGTCGTAAGCATTTTTGTCCTTTTTTGTAATTCTACTTCAACTCCACCTGCAACAGCAACCTTATTCCTAAAACTACAGGGAGACAAGCAAAACAGCGGTGTTACTTCCAGGCTGTCTTCAAAAGAAGACAGACCAAAGATTAGCAATAAAAATACTACTCAGCTAATTATCTGGTGTAAATATCTTATCCTGGGCTATGATTCCTAAAATGTAGTATCAGCCAGACAGTCTCACTTCAGCCTTTCTGGTTCA